AAAAAAAATATGGAATAGCACAAGTCTTTGATAAAGTGTTACCTTCCAAGTGCGAATGTCCAGGTGGTCATTGATATTCATAACAACATTTGAAGATAAAGGAAAAGACAATACTAAAAGGAAATGCTCATAAGCAGATAACCAGAGTTATCACCTACAGATATCATCCTATTGCTAGGCCTTTGACTTCCGGAGAAAGCATGTGGCTTGTTTCAGAAAAGTGTAAGGAAAATGTTCGTATGTTAAACTTTTTTTTAAGTTACAACAATTACATTCATAAACGTTGTATCATGTTGATTACCATTCATAATTATTGATTTTTATGATCTTTTCAGCGGGTCTGGAGTTGGTTGTCGGCAGTGCTGGAGGCGGAATCGTGCCGACAGTTGTTGTGTTCTCCCTTATATTCATCGGGTTCGGCGTGCTGTGTGTGTACGCTAAGCAGGACACACAACTCAAGGTAAACAATGCTAAAATGCTAATTTTCCAATCAGTAACTGTGTCCCTATCCATATAGTCGGCATTACCGTCATTCGTTGTAGCACATAAGCTTCACATGTACTGAAGAAAAGTACATTCTGCTTTGTAAAATGTTCGTATGATCACCACACTCATCATCGCCATAATAGGACAAATGTATGGGGAGTAAAGGCGTTCTGTTGCCGACTAAATTGTGTTGTAGCCCCGGTAAACTCTGACAAGTCTTGCAAAGAACACATCGCGTGTGTTATATGATATATAAAAATTGTGCCAACATTGGCCCAACACAGGTAGGCATTTGACCAAAAATAACGTTGAAACTGTCAATATAGAAATATTTATATAAACGTATACGTATGAACTCTACAAAATTAGCTCTTTCGGTCTAAATCGCGACGAATCGGGCCGTCCCTTGGAAACAGAATTTAAAAAAAAAATCCTTTTTTGTTTAACCAATTGATAAAATTTTCTCCCATCGTCCTCCTGCAGTGGGCGAAGGTGCTGACGATGGTGTTTATGGTAGTGATGGTGATGGTGCTGATAGGACAGGCCCGGGAGATGGTCACAGCCTTCCAGAGACTTGACGCCCGGCTGACCCAGCAGAACGCTAACCACATCACATACGCTGGGAAAGGTACTTCAACAAGCTTAGAGATGTATTCATCACTTAGCAAATACTTCATGAAATTAAGTTGATTCAATAAGTTCATTATTAGACACACTCCTTGTTTGCAGTTTGATACCACTAAAATAGTAGAAATAATTCCAGCGTTGTACAATGTAATCTGCGTTTATCTTATAACATTTTGTCCTAAGTTGTTACGATTTGATTCTATGACATACAGAACATTGACATTCTCTATACTGCCGTGTATACAAGCTTTTATTAGTTAAAAGGAGTACGTTTTTTTGCGTAACAGCTGGGAAAACTTACAAGCTGATTTAAATTTGACAAAATCTACACAGTCTGTTTCAGCAGAGATATATTGTCTGACGTTGATATTATTTTGCATGTTTTGCCATTCTTTCCCCATAGGTTGTAATGATGACTGCCGCGGTACTGTCTGCGACTGCCTAACGTTCATCTGCAAACCACTCAACTGGTCCAAGAACAACGTTTCTACATGGTTGATGGAATGTTTTGGCCCGGATAATCAGTTTAGCAACCTATCCAGTCACTTTTCGCAATATAGGTATGCTGAACCTGTTGCCATATTCAAGACATTTAAAAATCATAAAGCTACAACATTTATCAAGTGCATCTATCGAAAACTGATCCTCTATTCCTTAACCTTAAAAAAATCATCATGTGCTTCTTCCTATAGCCTGTACCTGTATGTAATTCTATAGTAAAGTCTGAAGGACGGGACTATGGTATCTGTTTGTCTCTTCCATGCGTTTTTTTTAATAATTTCCAACATGTAATCACAAGACAGTCAAGTTTTTTTAACATTTTCACCTGAGCGAAGTGAGGAAAGTCGTGTAAAGTGCCTTTCCCAAGGGCACAAGATCGGTGGCATGTCAGGACTCGAACCCGGGACCTCTAGGTTCCAAGTCGAGCACTCTGCCGCTACGCCACACCACCCCTGTTCTGTTTGCACTCTATCATCTTTCTCCAATCTCTCGTATAATCACCTCATCCTCTGAGTGTAACTGTAGAATGTAGTTGTCAGATAGCCTTTGGTCTATAAATCCATCGTACGTACTCTGTGTCACACGCTATTTTTGGCGACGTCTCAGGGAGGAGCCTAATGGTACAGTATTGTGTGCAGTTTGCAAGAATTCTAGGAATGGTACAGGCATTTTGTCCACAGGAATGGAATGTGCACAGGCATTTCTCTGACCCACATCTATGCCTACATTCCTGGAACCATTGGGAAGACCTCTCTGTCCCAGATGGCCCTACTTTCTGTGGGGCTCGTTCACTATACAATCAGGGCAGAAGTGCACTGTATCTGTTTAGACTTAACAGGTAACAAGTCTTCCTCAAAATCATGAAATGATGGCTGTACCATGCAAACAATAACCCTAACAGCAACAACCGTTGCCATGGCAATGTATGTTTTCATTGACAGTCTTGTTTGTTGTTAGTGGCTCCCAGTTGTCCCACTTTGACGAACAGACGCTCTGTGGCGAGTTCACAACGCAAAATGGAGTCTCCGCAACGGAAAGAGACTGTAAACTCATCTTCAGAGAGTTCCTCAAGATCAAGGACGAAAACGGTAGGTTGTTCTTTGATCCCAATTGTTAAATGTGAGCACCTCTCTAAGAAAGAATGTGTATGTAGAATTGTCACAATTACTGTGATCCAAATACACAAAGAAATTGAGAATCACTGATATTTTTCCACAGCATAGATGGTTCTGTTACTCTGGAAGTAGTCCTATAGTCACAAGGAAATTCTGTTTGACTAATGGTTCCCAAGATTTGAAATAAAAGCCAGAAGACAATGTGACGTCACACTTAAGTTTTACACATATTTCATAATGGTGCATGCCCCCATAACACAGTATTGAATTAGCAATCGACAACTAATTATTTACATGAGCTACATTAATAAACTCTATTATGCAATGAATAAAGAATGGGGTGTTTTGACCTCTGTATCTATTATTAAATAAAGCTACGAACACTTGATGCATGCCTGTGTGAGATTATGAATTTGTCATCATAATATCATAACAGAAATAGCTTATTTGTCACCAAATGTGTACATCAAATCAGATGACATATTCCTGTTGGTCTCTTCAGTTGTGGTAACCAGTACACCACCAATGACACCCCTGGAGCAGCTGCCTCTGCCGGTGAGTGTGATCTACTTCCTCAGCCTGGCGGCTCTGTACGTCCTCACGGCGCTGCTGCATCCGTCCGAGCTCCTCAAACTGCTGTACGGGTTCGTGTACCTGCTGAGTCTGCCGTCAGGATACATCCTGCTCACCATCTACAGCGTCTGTAACATGACCGACAGATCCTGGGGTACGAACATATCAAGACCTCATGAAATAAGGACTAAGCTTTAACTTCCAACACTTAGATACAGAATTGGGACTAACCCCAAATTTTCGGTTAATTTCATCAACCTTGTTCTCGGAATGGTCCCGTCTACTCTTGGAACGTGACGTCAGAGACACGTGACCGTAGTAGCGGGTCATACGTGCCAGATAACTTGTGTCGTCCCCCGTCTCTTTTCAGAGTAGGTCTGTGGGCTCTTATGTAAACCGCCTTCTATCATGACCTCATCTATGTAGTTTTTTATTCCAATATTTCATGACTAGACATGGTGCCGGCAAACTGAAGTTATATACTGTTGTCACATCTGGGCTGGAGCTGCTCAGAGCTCGTTGAGCTGTTTAGATAGGGTCCAAAATCGTTTGCGAAATCTCGTTGGGAGAGACCTGCACGCCATCTTACAACCGCTTTCACACCGGCGCGATGATTGCAAGCCTGGCGTTACTATATCGATATTTCCACGGCAGATGCTCTGCTGAACTTCACTCCCTTGTACCCCCACTCAGAACATTCTCTGCAAGAACACGCTTAGCCACCTCAACAGCAGAAAATCACCCTTTCTTCCTCAATAGTCCATCAGTCAAGAGAAAATTTCATGCTGACAGTTTCTTCCCCAGAACCACTTCACTGTGGAACAAGCTTCTCCGTGAATGTTTCACCGCTAATTACAACCTCCAACGGTTTAAATCAAGGGTGAACAAATATCTGACCACGCAGTCATCACTGTAACCCAAAACTTGTAAGTGGCTCTCACGAGCCTTGTTTTGAGGTGAATCTGAAGTAAATAAAAAAAAACAGCATATCAACTTATTTTATGCCGTCACCATCGCAGATAGAGGACAAATACGGAACAGGACAGTACTCATTTTCATCAGAGTTAAGTGAGGAAAGTCATGTCAAGAGCCTTTCCCGAGGGCACAAGATCAGTGGCATGTCAGGACTTGAACCTGTGACCTCTTGGTTCTTAGACGAGCACTCTGCCGCTACGCCAGACGACACCACACCACCCCATCGATGTAGTTAATAAAAGCATCAATGTACCAGATTATCACTTCAAAGCTACATTATGTAACAAGATTGCTGCAAAAACGAATATGCTGTAGTTTAGCTTTTATGTGTCTAACGTTTACTTCCACCTTCCAACACATCAGTACTATTATCTCATATTTCTAACATTTATGGCTAAACAGCCAATCCGGTAAATAAACATTGCCGACAGCGGTGTTTCAATCTTCCATCCACACTCCACTCGTACGGCGCAATGTTTTTTGGCACCTTGAATAGCGCTCCAATGGTGGGTATTGATACAACTTTGTAAAGAAATTAATAGAAGTATTAATGCACCGCTCCGAGGTGTATATGGTGAGATAATCCCTGGTCAGGTGCGATAACCACCGAATAAACCTCCGAGTGAGCGTAGCGGTGGCTGTCTGATTCAGTCTGATCTCGTGCACGGGGTGCTGTGAACCGGTCGGCCAAATGACGTCACCGACGCTGATTGGTACGGGTGTTTATGGGATTTTAATGACCTCTGGGCGGGTGTGTTGTGGTGTCATAAACAATGGCAAACGGGGACCTCTGATTGGTCAACGCTACCTGGCTATATGGTAATGTTACATAATACAGGTTTAACAGTTTTAATTGAAGTTTTACTTTGTTTTGTTTCCGTTCAGGTACGCGGGAAATAAAGGTACCAGGTGTGGCTGTTGGAGGCAAAAGTGTCACCGAGATGATCTCTAACTTGTGCAGAACCCTGTGCAGGTCGGTGTTAAGTAGGATATAAGTTTTTTTTTTTCAAAATTAACCAAAACACACATAAATATACTTCTATATCATTTAATATTTTTCATACTAGTGTACAAATATTAATTATCAACGGTTATCTTTCCGCCTTAGCTGTTGCAGACGAGACAACAAACAGCCGCCATTGGAGGAGATCTCCATCGATGACCCTGGTGAGGAGACTGAGAACGACGAGAGCGGGTCAGAAAGCGGGAGCGGTAGTGACATCCAATCACTGTCAGGTAAGGAGTACCAGAGTTCAATATTATTGTTTGTTTGTTTGTTTATTTAGTCGCATATAATCAGAGAGAAGAACAATAAAATGAACATATTACAGTAAAATAGGACATGCAGTGAAAAGATAAGAAGCCATAATGGCTTGTCCGTGATCTTCCCCCGACTAAATTAATTGACAACTGTAATAATGGTAACAAATCAAATGGTAATAATAAATAACAAAAGTAATTGGTAAATAACGCTAATTAGAAATGATATATTAAAAATAAGTTAACAGAGTCTGAAGTTTAACTGAAGTACAAACATAAGCAAAAAAACTTAAGCAATAACTTCGAATTTAAATCTCATATGACATGTAACGGAAAATTGAAACTTATACTTAGTATATCGAAGTGGGACTTTAACTTAAGATGTCAAATATCGGTGGGAAAGAAGAGTAGGTGATTTTTAAGATTGCATTTGAAGCTAATTATTGATAATTACATAACATATTACAACGTCTTACATATTACAACATATACAACATCTGCCGAGCAACACCCACTCTTCGAGAATAGAAAAGACATGTCCTTCCATGTGTATTAAACGTTTTAAATCATCACGTAGTACAAGTTCCGTGATGGTATAGAGACCTGCCCTGTCTTCACATCCATCCACTGTTGTATTTCACAAAGGTGATGTAGATCCAGTCACTTTTTGGGGCGGATCAAGAAGAGACTCGGCCCGTTGGCGCAGACCATCGCGCCTGCCTCGTATTAACCAGAGACGGGTTAGTACACTGTCTCAGGTCGACGTGAACGATTTTGTTCCAAGCCAATGGCCGGCGGAATTAAGGGTAAGGAATCTGACATTTCCTCTCTATATTGTCACATACCATTAGCCATAATCGGTTCGCTTACAAATAAGAACTGCTTCTTTCTGCTCTACAAATGCTTGTCCCTTACCGCATTGTTACTGTTTTGTATGCTTTCATTCAAATGTACAGTTCTAGCGAAGAAAAGTTGTAGAGGTTTTTTAATATTAGATTGTTGCTCTTTATTTCAGGAAAAGTACGAGAAAACGCTCAAAGAACATGGTTTTGTGAATACGTCATTTATCTTTGGGATGACTACCAAGGTTTGTGGACTAACGTTTATATTCATTTTCTAATATGGCATACCTCGGTAGCTTCAGTAGTGTTGAGGTCCATTTACCCTGTTCATTTTCGTGCATGTCTGTCAATACTATATCGTGTTCAAACCAACCTCGTAAAAACTATGTTAATCGTGTTCAATGTTATAGGATCTCCAGGATATCGGCATCACGAATAAGTTACATCAAGACATTCTCATGAGGGAAATAAAGAAAATACCGGAGTGTGAGCTCGACGATACCGTCCCGGTAAGTCGTCTTCTTTTCAATTCTTTTTATTCTTTTTTTTTACAGTTTAGCTATTGTTTTTGTTATTGGGTGGGCCGGCTAGTCTCTCTTCGCAGCCAATGGCTTAATTTTGAGGAGTTTACAACTAGTTGGGGCTTAATCGCAAGGGTCTTGAGCGGCTGCCCATTTGGTGCTAACTCAAGTTACCTCAATACGCCCCATAGTGCTGCCATATGACTGTAACTTCAGGCTCAGGCCGAGTTCCCTACTCTTTTTAATAGGTGTGGTGGGTTCTTTAACGTGCGTGCGGCGTGGCGTTCCCCAAACACGGGAACCCCATTTAACGTAATATCCGCGGGACGTCCCTAACCGTAGCTAGGTACTCATTTCTGCGTGAGGATAGTCGAGTAAAGTGCCAAAGTAAAAGTACATGCGTAGTTTAACTAAATTATCAAACTGCTTTAATGTGTTTTCATAACACATGTGACACATTCTGAACAATGCCACATACATGTATATAATTATAGAGACCGTGATGTGGCAGAAGGAACCAGCTTCAGCCGGTCGCTATCTTTAACATATACCCGCATGAAAGGGTGCATGGGGGTGCACAGGGTGCATGGGGGTGCGCAGGGTGCGTGAGAGTGGGTAACGTTATATGTAGAATGAATTGCTTATGATAAATAGGGTATAGGGTTGTAATAATGTATGCACGTGTTTGCATGTATGCATAAGTCTTGCATATATTAATAAATTATATTTGCATATTTGGGAAACAAACCATGCTCCCGTTACCTTTATTTATTTGTCCCAGGAAAACTGTAGCCAGTGGTTAGAGTCTATAGGTATGGGGGAGTACATCAGCAGCTTTGAGACTTACGGCATCATCTCCAGGAATGACCTGGCCAGTCTCAAGTCCATGGATGTGGATGAACTACTGAAAGACCTGCAGATAACAAAATTAGGTAATTCTCTGATGATCTGCCACCGTGACATAACACCTGGCCTACACGTATGACCGCTGAATAAACCACCGAGTGAGCGTAACCGGGGGAAAGTGGACCATCTACGTTCTTATCCAATGACCCATGCACTGCACGGAAAGTTGAATTTACCAATGGTATAAAGTGCTAGTAAAACACTTTATACCATTTTTATTTGCAACCATGTTTAAATTGCAACATTCCTCACTTAACAAATATGTTTGCAAATAAAAGTCAAGTTCTGCAATTTCATTTACCACACTATGGTTTCAAAGTCCAGTACTGTTTACAAATTAAACATTACCAGACTCTACGTTCGTGCAGTAGTGGTTATGACGCAATGACTGTATAAACAATAGAAATGCAAGTTTGTGGTCAGCATGTGGTTATCATTAGTGATCTAATATTATCATTGCATATTATAACTTTATTTCTGGATAATATCATGAAAAATATTCTATTCCAGCTCGTTGTTGACTAAACATAAATGTATTGCAGTCTTCTTTTCTAATACGTTACATGTTGCAAGTGTTTTTTCTTACTTCTCAGCTCATGTCAAGAGGATCACCGATGCTATTAAGAAGTTGAAGAGTCCCGAGGAAAGTATGTACTGTTTTTCTTCAGTTATTTGAGAGCTAAAATCAGAAAAAAAATCTTGGCGTAGTGTCCTTTCCTTTAAATGTTTAAACATAAACTTAATTTCGTAATCATGGGGCTTCTAAAGTCACGCCATCGGTTTTTTTTGGAACTCTTTTATTTCTTTCACAGCAGTTCGTTTCAGTACTTTGATATGTTTTTTCTACGTACGATTTTCATATTTTCAGCTGGCCGAAGAATAAGCCAGGTAAAAATCATAATGAAGAAGGTGAAGACCATCATCATGCAACACGACAGCGAGAGGTCACTTGAGTTCAAGTTCTGGGATAAGTTACGTCAGAAGTGTCTGGACCCGGAAATCTCCCTCTTCAGTACTGATACAGATATAAGGTACATGTGCTTTACTATCATGAAAGTTCACCTGTGTTGGTGGTTACATGTTTAAAGTTAAAACTTTTGATCCAACATAAAGAAATCTCTCACCTAGAGCTTTCGACCAGTCACTCTGGTCTTCCTCAGTAGACTGACCCAGTGAAGCTTGTCACGTGGCTTCTTTGAAGTGTGACGTCAACACTGGCTCAAAGGTATCTGGTAGACGATGTCGGCCCCCGTCGCGGTTTAATGAAGGTTGATGGGCCCAGATGTATAATTGATGTATACTTGATGGCAACTTGATGTATACCATAACGCATTCTTGTATAAAGCTTCCTAGCCATAGCTTAAATGCGTCGGTGTATTTAGTATAGTGTATTTTAGATTTTAAACAATGGTTACATTTTATCCCTATGTGTGTAAACAGCTGTGTGTTCACATTTGTAATTGTATTTTGTAACTAGACCCAACAATTCAGTCGAATGTATCTAGGCTGCCAGTGGGTCCTGGGATTTATTTGTTCAACGACAATAAACCAGTCTATAAAAGATTGATGTGAATGAAGATGTTACCAGGATCGATATTGACTCACGGAGTCGATATACATATCAAGATAATTATCATATAGCAAAGTTCTTTTTGTCACAACCATTTATTTTTCACTAGCCGACGTTTCGATGACCGTCTGTCATCTTCATCAGGGCAATTCTGACTGGTTTACTGTGCACTGATGCTAGATGTTACTTGGTGCATAGTGCACTAAAGGTGTTACATGGTTCATAGTGCACTTAAGCTAGTTTTCTGTTTATAATACATTCCGGAACGTAGTGTAATTGTGACATACATATTAGGCATGGTTATAACATAGGGAAATATGCGGTTCCAAATGTAAAGTGTTATTAGTGCACTATGCACCAAGTAACATCTAGTGTCAGTGCACAGTAAACCAGTCAGAATTGCCCTGATGAAGATGACAGACGGTCATCGAAACGTCGGCTAGTAGAAAATAAATGGTTATGATAAAAAGAACTTTGCTATTCAGTCGTTTACCAACCTGATGAAATTATTTAGGGAATTATCATATCTTATCATTGCAGAACGCAGCTTGTACAGTTGCGGAACTCCTGGATCCGTGTCCTGCTGGTGCTTAACGTCATGTGGATCACGCTCATCGTGTCTCTGACGTACGTGCCTGAGCTCAGACTGTGGGACGCCAACCCGCTGAGTCTGCTGTCTCTACTGGTGTTCGGCGTCCTGCAGGTACAGGGTCTTAAAACTTCTGTTGTTTTTAAATGATATGATATGATATGATATGATACGAATCTTTATTGCATGTTCTTGCCCAGATGGGCTAAATGCACAAGATGACATGCAGTATGCAAAGAATGAGTATTGCGTACTGGGACGCTATATTCTAATGCTAATTGCTAGGAATTCATGCATTATAACAATACTATATAATACCTATCATCTACTGTTAGTTGCCCTTTCTTCTCTCTTTTTGAAACATTTGGAAACATAATTACATGGTTTGTCTGCTATATATTCGTTCTTGCATGACATCAAGTGTTTAAACGTGTCCTGCTTTGACATTTTCTTACATATCTTGTCTAAATGTAAAATATCGAGTAGTTCTTGGCGCTCATCTTTATATAATGTAAAGTCAAGTAGAAAGTGTATCTCGTTTTCAACATATAAATGATTAAAGAATTCGCACGTTCTATCTATTCATTCACAACTATCACAACTAACGGTCCATTCATACACAACTATCATTATTAGGCCACAGCAAGTAGTTTTCATGGATGACATCCATTAATTTTTGGCTGGTTTTGAAAAAAAGAAATTTTGCTGTCTTCTAACAGTGGTCAACATGCCAAAAATGGGCAAAGATGTCTGTTGCTATGCCGGAAGGTGGATAGCAGATACATATAAAGAGAGGAGACAAGAAATGACTCTGATTTAATGTTTTGTTTCTTACTTTGATGCAGTGATATGTGGTGCTGGCTGTGTATATGTGATGTTTCTACTGAATCAAAACCATTTGTACCATGATTGAGTCAAAATTATAAAATGTAGGAACCTTGTTTTTTTCGGCCAGTCTTGTTTCGTTTCGCCGCTTGCATCAGATTTTTGAGTCTGTGGAGGATGTCATCCATAAAATTTACTTGCTGTGGCCTTATAACAAAGCATTCAGATTACCTCACTGGGTAAGCTGTCTCGTCTAGTGTTCTACGTTCTACAGATTGAGAGTGTTGGCAGATTTACTTTTGTCTTTGTTTTGACAAGTTCCCATCCGTGGGTGTGATGCAGAATAATTGTATCGAGACATTCAGAGACTTCGGTCCTTAAAGGCGTAAGCGCTCTCTCTGACAATCAATAAAAACTGCCCTTCAGAAACACATAAACAAACACGTGCAGAGAGAGGGGGGAGGGAGAAATGTGCGGGGGGAGGGAGATAGTAATAGACAATGTAGTCTAGGCGATCGGTGCAAAATACGGGTAGAATTGCTCAAATTGTGATAAAAGCATGAGACTTGGCATGCTGAAGCATGAGTACCTAATTAACATTTTCAGGGGTGGAGCCATTGCAAAAAGTGTGTTACTTAGCAACGGTTGCTAGGCAACTTGTTTTTCCAACAAAACAGTATTATTACCTTCTAATTGTGCCTAAAAACCAAATATATTATGCAAAAATGAGGTGTATTGCTGTATCTGGCATCACTTTGTATGTTTAAGTCAATCTTAAGCCATTTTAAAACAAAACTCACCATAAAAGGCTGGTTTTGGGGGGAATTACAAGTCGAAAAGTGTATAAATTAGATTTCATAGGCTGTATATTTTCTCGTTACCTATGGGGCCTTGAAAAGCATATTTGATTGATAGAGCCGAACATTCTCTGAATGGTAAACTTTAAATTTAAAAAATCCATCAGTTCTATCAGGAGATATAAGTGTTTGAAGAATAACACATCCACAGACTTAAATCAGTAGATTGGTTGCTATGGCCGTTGCTAGGGACGGCTTAATTTTTGGGCTGTGGTCTGCACATTTTGGCTTTTGTGCCACTATATTAAGGTCCAACGGCATGAAATTTGGCATGAGGATAGCTTGGTTTTTTGCGCAATAATTGTGAATTTTATGTTTTAGATTCATGCCTGAAAAATTTAATGATTTAGCTTATTTTGGGTAAAAAATAAGCAAAAATGTATATTATTGGCTTCTGTACAACTATATGACGGCCAAATAACCCAAGTTTCTGTATAGGGATAGCTTGGCACTATGCACTAAGATAGTGTGTTTCATGTTTTCGATGCAGACTTCAAAAATTCCATTATTTAGCTTTTTTCGTTAAAAATAACCAAAAATGTATACAATTGGCTTCTGACCCACTGTATTATGGTCTCGTCAATTGAAATTGGGCATAGTTGGGCAAGGGGATAGCTTCGGGGCACTTTTGTTAGATACAGGCATTCAGAATCCTATTATTCAGCTTATTTTAGATAAAATACCCAAAATGGATTTTACTAAATTAGTTTGTGCAACTTTATTACGACCTAATGACCAAATAGTTGGCATGGGGATAGCACGGATTGTTGAAAAAAAAACAAGATTCAATTACATCTTTATCAAGGTTAGCATTTAACAAGATCTCGAAGTCAACCCACACAACCATATGTCAAGATTTACATCAAAATATGTCAAGATATCAGCTTGGGCATTTTCTCTGAATGCATTAGGACATCTGCTAATGAATGTTTTCCCAAGTCCTAGATAGAGTAGCATCCACAACGCATCAGATTAGAGCAAATTACAGAAGTGCGCATTCACAGTGTTTGCTCGTGAATTAATAATTTATTCTTATCTAATCTAATGTAATCTAAATCTTATCTAAGTACAAACATGTATTTTCTTAACATGTCATTAGATGTTTTCAAACTTCATCATCAAAAGTTNTCCGGAACGTAGTGTAATTGTGACATACATATTAGGCATGGTTATAACATAGGGAAATATGCGGTTCCAAATGTAAAGTGTTATTAGTGCACTATGCACCAAGTAACATCTAGTGTCAGTGCACAGTAAACCAGTCAGAATTGCCCTGATGAAGATGACAGACGGTCATCGAAACGTCGGCTAGTAGAAAATAAATGGTTATGATAAAAAGAACTTTGCTATTCAGTCGTTTACCAACCTGATGAAATTATTTAGGGAATTATCATATCTTATCATTGCAGAACGCAGCTTGTACAGTTGCGGAACTCCTGGATCCGTGTCCTGCTGGTGCTTAACGTCATGTGGATCACGCTCATCGTGTCTCTGACGTACGTGCCTGAGCTCAGACTGTGGGACGCCAACCCGCTGAGTCTGCTGTCTCTACTGGTGTTCGGCGTCCTGCAGGTACAGGGTCTTAAAACTTCTGTTGTTTTTAAATGATATGATATGATATGATATGATACGAATCTTTATTGCATGTTCTTGCCCAGATGGGCTAAATGCACAAGATGACATGCAGTATGCAAAGAATGAGTATTGCGTACTGGGACGCTATATTCTAATGCTAATTGCTAGGAATTCATGCATTATAACAATACTATATAATACCTATCATCTACTGTTAGTTGCCCTTTCTTCTCTCTTTTTGAAACATTTGGAAACATAATTACATGGTTTGTCTGCTATATATTCGTTCTTGCATGACATCAAGTGTTTAAACGTGTCCTGCTTTGACATTTTCTTACATATCTTGTCTAAATGTAAAATATCGAGTAGTTCTTGGCGCTCATCTTTATATAATGTAAAGTCAAGTAGAAAGTGTATCTCGTTTTCAACATATAAATGATTAAAGAATTCGCACGTTCTATCTATTCATTCACAACTATCACAACTAACGGTCCATTCATGCACAACTATCATTATTAGGCCACAGCAAGTAGTTTTCATGGATGACATCCATTAATTTTTGGCTGGTTTTGAAAAAAAAAAAGAAATTTTGCTGTCTTCTAACAGTGGTCAACATGCCAAAAATGGGCAAAGATGTCTGTTGCTATGCCGGAAGGTGGATAGCAGATACATATAAAGAGAGGAGACAAGAAATGACTCTGATTTAATGTTTTGTTTCTTACTTTGATGCAGTGATATGTGGTGCTGGCTGTGTATATGTGATGTTTCTACTGAATCAAAACCATTTGTACCATGATTGAGTCAAAATTATAAAATGTAGGAACCTTGTTTTTTTCGGCCAGTCTTGTTTGTTTCGCCCGCTTGCATCAGACTTTGAGTCTGTGGAGGATGTCATCCATAAAATTTACTTGCTGTGGCCTTATAACAAAGCATTCAGATTACCTCACTGGGTAAGCTGTCTCGTCTAGTGTTCTACGTTCTACAGATTGAGAGTGTTGGCAGATTTACTTTTGTCTTTGTTTTGACAAGTTCCCATCCGTGGGTGTGATGCAGAATAATTGTATCGAGACATTAAGAGACTTCGGTCCTTAAAGGCGTAAGCGCTCTCTCTGACAATCAATAGAAACTGCACTTCAGAAACACATAAACAAACACGTACAGAGAGAGGGGAGGGAGAAAGGTGCGGGGGAGGGAGATAGTAATAGACAATGTGGATGTGTTGTGACACCTCTGAACTAGCAGAGCTAGGCCGTGTATGTTCTTGAAACCTGGCTTTTAGAGACCTCTCTATTTCCCCGATGTACGTTTCCTGGCAGGGCCCCATGTTGTTTTTGCCCTGGCAGGGATGTGGTAAATGACACCACACTTCTTCTCTCTGCTGAATCATGTTATTTTGTTCAGCTGCTTCAGTTCCTGACGATGCTGTATCACCGGATCCGGACTCTACTGCACTACCTGGCCCGGTTACCTTACCCAGTATCCTGTACCATACAGACTAACACAACCGGAAATGGCAAGGCTGACGTCATACAGATTGAGACTCCTGGTATATCAACATCATTTTCACATCCTCGTGAATCTTTGTTACGCTATAATTGCGTATAATTACAATAATAATATCCGAAAGTTCGCTCTTTATTGAATCACAATATTACCGAGGCATCAATATTTGTTCTTACCGAACATTCTAGAAACAAAGAAATAATTGTATTTTATTTTATTTTACATTTATTTACACAAACAAGAATTAGATGAAACTTCACGAAACATAAACAACGAAAAGGTGCAGGGTAAAGGGAAATGCCATGGTTGCTTGTTTGATACCCTTCTCTCCCCATTTATGTTCTTACAATATTACATTTATCAAATTAAGTATAAATAACAATAAGGTAATAGTAAAAGAAAGTGAAACAACACGATAAACTAATACATCAAATGAATCAAACTAATGAAAGAAAATAATCAAAATTGTTCTTAAATAGTTTGTAACACAATACAGTGAATCAATAAAGTAACCAAACGAAAAAGTTTATAACAAGTCAATGAAGATATAATCAATGATTCATTTTCAAAAACAAAGAAATAAGGTTGGCAGTAATTACCGACACAATATAATAAAAAAATATAAGGAAAGTACAGTATGCAAAGATACGATTTAAGTATTAAATTAACCAGAATTAGGATAATGTGGGGTTATTTATCGCGTCAGCTTTGGCGTGAGTTTTGAACATGTTAAAAGATGGACATAACCTAAATGTTTCATTCAAGTTGTTCCAGACTGTGTGCACGTCGGTCCTTGGTACATAATAGAAAATTGTCGTGCATTTGTATTTGCAGGTAACTAACCTTAAATAATTGTTTGTCTTGTGTTTTTCAGTAACGATGTTAATCCTTTTTTCTAGATCCTGAAGCTCACCCACCTTCACGACCACCACGCCGACCATCCTTGTTAAGTTTTCAGATCACAAGAAATGGCCAAACCCGTATTTGGCAAATGGGTCGGACAAACCCGGTGTATGAGGAGGAGTAGATGACACAAAACCAGAAATACAAAGACCAGTAGCTTTACTGCGTTACCAAGTAAAGCTGCTATAGTGACCAATATCTGATCATGACCTTTCCATTTTGGACAAATACAGTAGTGACAATCTGCCCATAATGGCGCAGGAAACGGGGTTATAATTAGATCAATGTTAGTTCAGTTTTCACCACATACCCATCCGTCTAACATAAGACAGAGGCCTTGTTCATATGAAACCACCCGAACCGCGATTCGGGTAACTCGCACTCCTCACCTCTGGTCCACGTGCCATACATTCATTTTAAACCGTGTCCGATCACGAGTCTCCGAAACTGCATTCATTGGTGTTTGATGAAAACACCCAAGGTAGCGTGTTATTAATGGCAGAGGTCAACGACCTGGTTGCTGGTGCCCCCACCCCCCCCCCTCCCAGCGTATCTCGGCCGAATGCCGACATGGTCCCGCCAGAGGTGGTGAAGCTCGTCCTAGAACGGACACATTATTTGACCATTACTGCTCTTTAAGTTGCTGCCACGCAAAATTTGGTATTGCATATAAATAAAGAAATATCACCTCGTAATCCATGACTAAGTGAAGTCACATTGAAATCACATTGCGTTTAGACGCAAATCGCGATGCGGGAAAACCGATTCGAAACCACCTCTAGAATTGGTTTGGGATCAAGGCGCTTTCAATGTGATTCAGATGGGGCCACTTGAAACCGGCTTCCGGGGAAACCACATGTAAAGCGCTTTCATTGACTTCATATGAACAGGGCCAGAGTGAAATGGGGGCAGCTGAACATAAACTATACCTTACAATTCAATGATCCATACCCCTAAATTGTGCTAGGTCATGTTGGTTTGATTTTATGGATGACAGCCGCGTGCGCGTGAATTTTCGTCCTGTTCGAAAAAAAAGAAAACAAATCTGCCAAAGCAGCCACAAATTAACAAAAATATGCCGTAAATTGCAAATACAAAAACTGAAAACGATTCCAATGCCCTAGAATGACAAAATCAATTTCAGACGATTTATCGTACCTTGATTCTATGTTGCTTTCGTGTTTTTTTTTATTTCACCAAAAGGTAAAAGATTCTATAACCCAAAAAGACTACTGTCTGTGTACATATTTACATCAATGAAGGAACATTTAATAAAGGGTTAATGCACCGCCCCGAGGTGTATATGGTGTCATAAATGCATGGTCAGCTGCTATAACCACCGAATAAACCACCGAGTGAGCGAAGCGAACGAGGTGGTTTATGAGGTGGTTATAGCAGCTGACCATGCATTTATGACACCATATACACCGAGGAAAAGGCGGTGCATTAACGTTATTATCATATAGCCTATCCAAACTGACACAATGAATCAACACAATTCCTGTTCAAAACATTAAACCTTTAATATTTACATAACAATACATTCCAAAATATTATAATCATGGTTTGTACTTTAAAATAAATATGGAGATCATTTTACAATAAATATAGTTTACAACTTTACACTTTAGAATTGTTTCTTTTTCAGCATTGCAACTGGCAACAGATCATTTTACAAGATTCTCTGAACAGCATGGCAACAAACAATCATGCTGTTTTGTTTCTTAAACTTTAAGTTAAAGTGGAAGTAACATGGTACGTTAAAGTTCACATAACCGCTAAAAACATGCGACAACTGAGACATACATGTAGACTGCATATCGTAAAACCATTCAACCATCTAATGCAGCCAGCATGGTAACAAAGCATGTTGCGTAAGTACTTGCACTGAAGTTGATAGTAACTGTCTGATTCTCTGAACAGCATGGCAACAAACAATCATACTGTTTTGTTAATTAAAGTGGAAGTAACATGGTCCGTTAAACTTCACATGGCCGCTAAAACATGCGACAACTAGGACATACATGTAGACTGCATTTAACCATTTAACCATCTACTT